TTCACAGGACAGTTTTTTTATAGTCTCATTCTGTTCTCTCATGGTCATACAATCCTGAGACTGAGTGTCATCCAGAAGGCTTGTTATAGTGCAATCAAATAGTGACGAAGTACTTGAGTTATTCATTGATTTAGTTCGCGTACGCTTTCTGACCGTTACATTTTCATTCATAGTGGGACTCCTTATTTTTGCAACTCGTTGGTAGGTATGTTTAAGAAATGTTACTATTTAATTTTGTCTATTTCGAAACTGATGTATTGAATTCTGGAAACACTGTTTTTTAACGTGTAACAGATACTTCGATGCTCAATGTCAATGTACAATTTATGTATGGAACGCGCCCATGACATTTGAATTTAGCGCAGTGGGAAATAAAATAAACCGTCAGGAACGTTCTGGTTAATGTTTTTCAACACTGTAGATCACAATTAACTTAGTTTTATGGGTGTTCGGAACTGCTTACACTGTTTTATTGATGTTTTTAGTTGTCTATAACTTATTTAATATCATTTTATAGATTTAAATTATGGCACTTAACACTTTGTTTTTCAGTTTCACGAGATTTTTATTAGTTTAGGACAATGTTTACGTTCCGTAGTCGCGTCGCAGTCTTCTTAAAATAAATAATAAAGATAAATGCCATTAAAATCAATCAAAATTGTTTTTATCAAAGATTACCTTTTTTTTTAAATTTTAGACCTTTCGCGAGTTTGGTGGACAGGAGTGATTCATATGATTTATCACAGGTAATTGTGATTTTAATCCAACCCTAGTAGGAGTAGTAACTTACCAATCGATAAAACACGTGTTTAGGATTCTGAGACAGAGTCGACCATAAAGCATATTGGAACTTATATTATATAAAAACCAACCTTCACGAGATAATCTAGGATTTATGACAATCGTCTCCGATTCAAATAAAGTGATATAGAAAGTTATGACGAAGGCTATAGGGGCAAGTTTAATGGCCAATCTTTGAAGGCTCTTAACACGCAAAAGTAGATATACGGCCGTTTATGGGTAGCTAATAAGTAGTAACTTGGGTGAGGTTATTACCTGCTGACCTTTCTGTTAAAAGTGTTTGCATTTAATCACTGTCATAAAATGGCTCAGAACTTCCATTTGATAGCTTTTGTGTTTTTATAGCAGTTAGTTGAATAAAAGAGGATTCAAAAGTGCTTATCAAGTATCCTGTATACACTCTATGTACTGTTGTTCATTTTAATTAAATACTGCCGCTAAGTGTTCAAAATTAAGGACTGAAGGAAGGAAGGTGGAGAATTAGGGCTTCAGTTTATCATAGTTCATCATGAAAAGGTGCATTGAAGTGGTGATACTTTTTCAAAGTTAGTTTTAGTTTCAATTATGGGATATAACCAATATAGGTAGAAATCTATATCTAAAAACATGGGATTCTACCTCCGAAACAAGATACAATGATAAATACAATCAACGACGCAAAAAGGCAATAATATTGGTCTATGGAAATCAATTTGATGTAATAAAAGAAACTACCTTTTACTGCTGGTAAAGCGCTGACTGCTCCAAATGAAATTGTCCTTTATTTGACGGTGACCTTACAAAGGGATTTGTAGGTAGGCACATCACGTCGAGGTGTTGCCGGGTCGATACAATAAAATAGAGACGTATTTCCATGGGTGCTAAGTCGAAATTTCTTCTTGAATGATGAATAAAATAAAGCTACATTTAAGAATACGGTAGGGTAAGTTGAGGAATGAGATAGACTAGTTTTTAGTAAAGTATTTCTTTTTTAACCTATGGTACTTCTTTCTGAATAATAACGGTGCCATATAAAAAAGGGATTTTCCAAGGTGGTCGACATAAAAGAAAACTGATTTTAAAATCGACCCCTATAAACACAAGTTCTCATTTGAAACTTTCAAGATACTGTATTAGTTGTGTTACGTGTACCAACTTATTATTAGAATGACTAATATTTTAGTAGGAAGTGTCATTGTTGTACTTTAAATAAACTCAACAAGTCGATAAGCATGCAGGAATTTGGCTATGGGGGTCAGAAGTATCAGTTCTTTTAGAATAGGGGTCTCTTGCCCAAAATAGTTTGGGAATTCCTGATATAAAACGTATACTCACGTTTCTTTTATCTCCAAAGCGGTAGGCAGAGGCGTAATAAACGCATCCAGTTTACTTTACTCACGTAATATTGGGTAAGCCTTTTGCAACCAACTGGGGACACATATTTCTGAATAAACAGTGTAAAGATTCCATGTGGTGACAGATTAAGAATACAGAGTGTCACCACCCCTATTCATCCCGTGGGTATCGTAAGAGCCGACTAAGGGAGCAAACTCTGCAGGACAAGAACAACAAACTTGAAACTTATTAAATCCTGAAATTTGTGACACACTAGTGTGTATAATTTACCTCTTTTAACTGGCTCCCCTCTTCGACCACGTTTCTAGAACGTGGTACCCAAATTTCCACTTCCACTGGCGCCCAACGTGGGGCTTGTCAAATATAATATGACATTTCCAAATACATACATATTGTAGAAAAATTACTCACAGGCACAGAACAGATCATCGTGCTCATCAGAAAATATTTGTCCTGCGCTGGAATCGACTTATGACCTCTGTTCGTAGGTAATAACACGGTACTATTCCGTTCACTACACTTATAACTCAGATGTAATTATACAGAAAAATATATAACAGTAAGATCAAATAATAAGCAGTGGGAAGTTAATTGTAAATCAATCAAGAACTTTATTTATTAAGACAGCAGGCGGGCAGACCACTTTATGAACCACCTAACAATTAATTATGGTATAATTGTGCCGTCTCGGGTATCTTGTGCGTCGTTGTCGAGGCCTTGTACATAATTGCAATTAAGATCTTCATTGCCTTCGTCGTTTCAGTACGCCAGACAAAGCTTTATTTTCTAACAACGGAAATAAGAAATTTGACACACATTATAAGTAGTTTATTTACTCAAATTACTAAATTTATTTTATAAATAAACGGACAATGACAAGCCAACTTTTTTTAAATACATGTTAATTGCTGATTATAAGCACGATATGCAAGGTGGTAACGGTGATGCTGTCCGTTACCCTAGCAGGCCTGGGACGGTGACGTGACATATTCCGCCCGCACCTCTCTAAACCGGAAGGAGGACAAGGTTCATACCACTTCATCGTGAACCCTGGTGAGGTGATGACCCGTAGAGGTATACACACGAAAAAAAAAACTTGATATGCAAAGGTTAATGTTAAATTGTGCTCAGAAGCGATTTTAGAAGTAAATGTGATCATTTGAGTTGGTTGCCGATAGGTTGTTCGATGGGCCGACGACTGCCTTATTCTGATTAATTCCTACGCCTGACAGTTAAAAAATACCTATACTTGATTGAATACAAATGTTTTTTTCCCTATTTGATTTGGTTCGATTTTATTATGTAAATAGTAACTGTTCAAAAGTTACAATTTCGCTTACCAAGTTGGTCAGCTGGTCATAATGTATTCAATCGCTTATGAGCAAGTTCCGAGTATTATCTTATGACATTCTTTTGAATATCATGAGACAGTACTCGGCACTCGACCCAAAGTGCTGAGTTTATGTTGCATTTTTATTGAATTGAAAATAAAGTGAATTTATCGTTCGAATAAAAATACAGCAGCTTTTGACCTCTACCGAGTTAATGCCGAGGCCTTGACAAATAGAATTGACAAAAGTAGAAAAGTTAATGTTTGCCATTGTTCTTTAGCCTTCTTAGAGTCGATTCTGGTTTAACTATCTCACACAATAGTTGTTATATAGAGCAGGCAGTAAAAAGTGCTGGTTTTGTAATTATTTTTTATTATGGTAGTTTTTATTAGGGAGCAAACGAGGAGACCACTTAAGGGTGAGTGACTAACACAGAACACGGACGCGTGCAATCAAAAGAAGCCGTTTTTTTCAGTACTCTCGCCTCAGAATTAAAAGGAGTGGGGTCGGGTGTTACTTCTCCGATAATTTCACTCATTCGGTGAAAAGCAAATAAAATGTTGCTCAACAAGGGTTTTTTATTTCTTTTTTTAATATGATACATGTATACGTATCCGGCCAGTGCTATTGTATCCAGATACGTATACGTACAGTATACGTATTTGCATACCATTGCACAGGCTCTACACATCTGAGATCACACGAACGTGTCTATAAACTGTCAATAACTTTCATTAAAAAAGTTTAAAAAATACGTACTTTATATATAGTCCATCATTATATGTATGTATGTAAACGAAGCAGTAAATAAAATTAAAAGATAAGTAAGTTCTACAGTATCACATCATCTTTTAAAGTTAGATTTTAGCCGCCAAACTGAATAGGAATGCGCCACCCCTATTTTACCTACAAAGCGCGCGGAGCATTCAGGCTTCAGAGCTTTAGAAGCGCTCCGTAAAGCATAATATACCACTATTTACGAAAATAGCACACATAGAGCCTCACTTCACAGGTTTCGCGCACAGACACTATGAAGGTCAGCGCTGGGCTAAACACACACGGTTTTCGTGACACAAATTCTTCTAAAACGACATGAGTATTTAAGCCTCTGATGGGAGTTTATTTACCTTAAAGTAGTAAGTATTAAGTACTACAGGAATTAAGGGAGTTATGGCCACTTGGAGGTTTCTAACTCGATCACCATTATAACAAAATTTTATACATTTACTACAATACGAGTAAAACAAGAAACAATGGTTATTTAATAATGCGTTTTTAATAAAGCTAGCAATTGATTGGTAAAAAGCTCTTTTACAGCAAGCTTAGCTATATTAAACCAGTCGTTCTGAAATTTTCAGACCGTTAGTTTTTGTTTTGCATCTCATATCAAATGCGTCAATTCTACAACTACAACTGATAATAGGCACTTTTAGAATGAAACCAATAAAATACTTTAAAGATCTTCTAATCCTATATTAGATATATATTTTTTATTTCTTTTTTTAATATTTAATAATGTAGATAGTAACTCACTAGCATAGTACCCGACGTCATTGTTGACATTGATGTGTCCCGCATCTTCAGCTGCGAGCATGTGCGTGTCCCACACGGACCGGTACTCGGGGTCATGGAGCACATCGTAAAGGGCATCTGGCTCCACGTCGTCAAATTCTGCCACCACCTGTAAAAAACAATCATTAAGATTTCTTTGCTTATAGAACATAGTAAACTCGCCATTTAAAGAGAAAATAATACGTAACTCTCAACTGAGAAAAAGCTGGTTAAAAAAGCTGCATTGTGGTAAAGATTAATAAATTTCTAGTTTATACGTTCTTAGTTTTAATAATATAGTTTTTTGGACAACGTTGAATTTTTTGTTTCTATCGTAGAACAAGGATGAAGAAAAATTAAGTAGGTATTCGCTCCGCGGGCAAGCGACCGAGCGGCCAAGACGAGGGCCGTGCCACCGAGTGTCGGTTTTATGTTTTGCTCAAAGGCGTCTCGGTCGTTTTGTTTCGTGCCAAGTTCGAGCACGTCAGTCTTTGAAAGAGATTGTCTTGAGATGCGAAAGAGATACTGTATTTTCTGCTATGGTGTCTCAGCTCGTAACTGCACGAACAAACAAAGGGCCTGGGCTTGCCGCGCGCAGCAGCCGCGCTCGTTTTCGAACAGTTTCCTTGCGAGGCTGCTCGCACTGTGAGAGCCCGCCTATTCATCAACACTACAAACAAATTCATTTTCGTCGTTCTAGAGATTGTGAAATCGATATTTGAGACTCATTTTCAGCTTTTCAGTTTCTGTTTAGGACAAGGCTAAATAATTAGAACAGGACTATAAGGAAAAGTTAAATAGTAAATTTTCTTGAACAAAATCAAGCCCCTGCTTTTACGACTAAAAATGTCGTCTTAAAACTAAACTTTTGCAACTTAAAGTGTAAAACTTGGATGAAATCTATTTGTATCACATTAAGTAACATAGTATACAAAATAATATTCTAAACAAAATACATTTTAGTCACTTTGTACTGGTTTCGTGTTTAACCAATACTCGTAATACGGAGATATCCTGCTCCCTGCTTACCGGGCGTGTGCATTTTCTAATGTATGTGCAAATTATATCTATTGTTTAGAAATAAACAATATAAATATTATAAATTTTCAGATCAATTATATAATTGTTGAGTGAGTTTGTTTTTAACCAGCTGTTTCGCGTAACTACGTCTGCGTCTATCAAACGGAATAATTTTTCCTCGTTTTTGCAACATTCTCTATTCTCATATTGGTCTTAGCTATGCAAATCTCTCGAGATTTGGGCTCAACCGAGATCCCCGAGTTTATGAATAACAATACTGCGAGATCTCGCCAATTTTGAGATCTCGTTAAACTCGCGAGATCTCGCTCTTTTTTCATCCGAGATCAATCTCGCAAAAAAAAGGCCGAGATCTCGCGAAAGACTAGGGAATGCAGTCTCGTTCTCGGAACGAGATTGCATTCCCTAATTAGTCTTAGCGCGTTTTTATATAGCCCGTAGCCGTCCTTCTATAAATGGGCCCTCTCACGATAAATATTACCTTTTAGACTCGACACGACACGATAACTCAATCAACTCTCCTATTAACAAAATCACAACCATTCCGAAATTGTGAGAGCGAAATAATATTCTAGCCAGATTTTTTGTAATTCGAAATTTTCATACATAAGTATTATGATTTTAATATTCAAAATGTAACTGACGTCATGCATTAATACCAGATTTCTGAAATAAATAATAATAAATAATTACTATTATCTTACTCATGTATAAACAAAAAAAAAGGTACATTAGAACTAAAAAAACTTTATCTAGTATCGTAACTGGTTTATAGAAACAAAGAGATGTTGGTTAAGTTCAAGTTGTTACATAAACTTCTATTGCCTTAAGGGACAAAAGGAAATCATTGTAATATGTACCTACCCGTCTTCCGTCGTTGACTGGAAATAAAACAATATTTTTTACTTTAGGAAATATGAGATGTCTCTTCCAGATTACAAAATTCGCTATGAATATATAATTTCAGGAACAGGCTTTGCTGAAAGGGTCGAGCACGCCGTTCTCGCAGCGGTAAGACCCGTTATGGACGATTGGCTCGAGAGGCATCACGGAACTCTCTCATACCGGCTGACGCAGGTGATTACCAGGAAAAGATGCTTCGGAGATCATCTGTATCTGACCGTCAAGGAGCCAACGCCTGAGTGCTACCACTGCGATGGCCGGACCGTAGACACGGCGTTCCACAGAATGCCAGGCGTGGGTAGCAAAAATATGTACACGAATTCACGTAAACTGTGTTTATTCTCGACTCTTAAACTTATCTTAAATCTACTTAACAAGTAGATTTTTGCTTACGCTACCTGAACTGCACACTTACTTATTAATTATTACATTTAAAAGGAAAGTAAGTAGGTAAGATACGTTGTTTCCCTACAGTCGTTTTAAAAGTTCATTTGCTTCAGATTATAAATACCTAATCGTTTGTTTTATCTATTTATCAGCCATATCTACATATAACGACTGATAAAAGCTAAAGCCAGTTTTACGCCACTCTTTTTGCGTGCAGGTGTTATAGATTAGAAATAGTTTGTAAATTAGCATGATACCATGTAGTTTTTTGCAAATCAAACTGTTTGTAAAGCGATTTTGTCTAGATTTTAACAAACTTCAAAAAGAGGACCATTTGCTAATTGTTTAAATCATTCGCTTCCCGTTAAGAGACGAACTTGTTAAGAAATCTCAAGCATTGAACAATGTAAAATTCTGTAGAAGAAATCGCGTGAAATCCTGTGTTGACTAAAAAGTAGTGGAGTGAGCGGTGTTCATATTTTGTACTTTAGAACTCCGTCGTTTAAGAACCAATTTGGTTTTTATTGAGGGAGAGGATTATACTTTATTCAAAAAAAAATACCATCACTACTACAGTTTATTACAAGTCTTCATGGCATACTGAATTTATTGATAAATATTTTTTTAATTAATTATTTAAAATAATTAATTTAAAAATATATATTATATCATAGATTTACTCAATGATATGACTAAATATGATAAGCTACTTCTTTCTGACTTGGAGATTTATGTATACTTTAATTCATTCAGCGAAAATTATTATGTTTCGATTTTACATATTTATGAGGTGAATGCCATGGCGTAGCAATTTCGTTACAACCATTAATGTGTAATTACATAGGGACTAGGGTGATTGAGCACCCTACTTTTAGCCAACAAACAATAACTTTTGAAATATCAAGAATGAATATTAATGAAAGATCGACTTACTCGAATCTAATTGTATTTAACGAGGCACGCTAAAACAGTATTACATTAAAAGTAAAATTTCAAACATCGAAACTACATATGAATTCGTCTATTTACAGATGATTTGTCCATCCCAAATTTACCTACTTTGTACTCTTGTAAGGACCAAAAAAAATTGCGAATAATAAAGTTTATTCTATTCTATAATAATATTGTTTGGATATTTTGGAAAAAAAAACTTTAATACAGTACTGTTACGTTACTGTATTAAAGTAACATTTTAACAACTTTGAGTAGGTAATCGTACTTTATGATAGACCTTATACATACTTCTACATACAGTCACGTAAGCGTAAGATACATTCAGTCAAAAAAGTATCGGGAATGGAGGATTTGTTTATTTCCATTTTGGCACAGAGTTTGAGTTGCATCTGTTATTTATATTAAACACAGTGCTGTTTTTAGTTATATCATATCTAGTGTGTATTGCGAATTTCATAATGGACAAAAACATCGAATAAAGAATTTGTCTTAAATTTTGCATGGCCTATGGAATTTCGTGTTCGGAGTCACTGAAAATGTTACAGAAGGTTTACGGTGAATCGACTTTATCAAAAATACGTGCTTATGAGTGGTACAAAGCGTTCAAAAGCGGTCGAGATATGATGGAAGATTTGCCTCGCTCTGGTAGGCCATCGACGTCTGCAACCAAAGTTAACATCGCAAAAGTGAAGGAAATAGTGACTGAAAATCCTCATTCAACTTTGAGAGAGATAGCCGCCAAACTTTCTGTATCTCACGAGCAAATTCGATGAAAAAGGCCCGATTTGTGGAAAGAAAATTCTTGGATTTTGCACCACGATAATGCGCCTTCGCACAAGGCCATCATTGTGAACCAATTTTTGACCAAACACTCAACAAATACCATCGAGCAACCACCATATTCACCAGATATGGCTTCAGCCGACTTCTTTATTTTTCCTAAACTCAAATTAACACTCCGTGGCACCCATTTTCAATCGGTGGAAGACATAAAGGAGAATTCGCGGCGAGAACTGAACTCAATTCCGGAAACAGCTGTTTTGATGATTGGATTATTCGTTGGCGTAAGTGTATCGTTTCTGAAGGAGCATACTTTGAAGGTGATAAAATAAATTTGGATGAATAATAAACATTTTGTGTATTATTGATCTTTTCCGGGTACTTTCTTGACAGAGTAGTATGAACGTTCTAATGTCATAATCAAATATAAATTTACATGTTAAGTATTTTTACCACGATGAGAAACAATATTTTTTTAATGTATATCAAAAAAAGTTTCACACCGATTGAACTCAATTTTTGACACAATGTACAATTTATCAAATCAAAATCGATCTAAGTGGCGTGCAATGGGAGAGGCCTATGTCCAGCAGTGGACTGCGATAGGCTGATGATGATGTACAATTTATTTCTTATTTCACATCAATGCAACTTCAATGTATCACAGCGAAGCGTGGCGGGGTAAATCTAGCAATAAATAATTATAAAACTTCTATAAAATAATTTTCATCATCATCATCATCATCAGCCTATCGCAGTCCACTGCTGGACATAGGGCTCTCCCATAAATAATAATAATAATCTTATTTATTAGAAATTACATTTTAAAGTCATAACTTCTTATAGGAGGGTAAACCGCTTCGTTACGTAACGCGTTACGACGTCAGTCTGTCTGGCTTCCCTTTCTCTCACGCATACGGCAGCGGTAGGCAGGCTCCTCCTCTCTCACTCTAACCCACAGCACTAGCCGCATTTCGGACAGACGCTTTACATAAAATTTGAATAATAATTTTTCAAGTTAAACAATTTCAATATTAAATAGTTCTACTTAGATTAGTTTAAGTTATC